ATGTTTATTTGTTATTCTTCATCTGGGGTGAAATGTTTCTTCCTCCGCTGTAGTTTCGCCTCCTGCCAGCAGATGGCGCCATGAAGGGCTCACTATCTACGTGGACCAATGAGAGGAGAACTGATGATGACGTGGATCAGCTGGAGGAAGCGGCTCCGCTCCCTGTGGGTTCAGGTCCACTCGTGTTCGAGGCAGGGAGCTTCTGTGATCCATCCAGATGTTCCAGATGTTGTGCTGCAGCCGCCATGGAGCGGCTGTTCTGCCGGGTTGGAGGAGCTGCTGCCTCCTGCTGCTGGTTCTGCTGCGCTGCTGGGCTCTGGACCACAGGGTGAGCAGAACCGAACCTGATCAGAACCCCAGCAGCGCCACTGGATCATAGAGCTATTGATATAGATAGGTTCGCTCGCTGCTTTATACATTGTACCAGTTCTATTCCGTGTTTATCTATTTATCTAGTATCTAGCTTATATAATGGTTTTGCAATTGTTTTATCTCAGATGCCTTCTTGTCACTATGTCAGCTGTCAATATGAATTCCTCATAAAAAGTATTACATCAGTTTTTATTGCAGGCTTACAACCCAGAGAAAGGTTTCAGAAAACACAGACCTGGTTTTAGTTTAGTAGTTTAGAATAATCAAGTCCAGGTTTGATGTATCTAGATGTTTTAGTTTTTTAATTAATGTAGATTAAAAATGCCAAAGGCAGGGAAAAGGGAAGTGGTATCGCCCTTTATTCATAACCAAATCGCAAACCAACTTCAGCTTTGCAAACTTAAGCTTTAGTGTTTATTTTAGTTCTTCTGTCAGTCAGGAGCAAACTGACCGACATGAAGGAGGCGTTGGTCCAATGGGAAGGAGAGAGATGCTGTTACCATGGAAACATGACAGGATCAGCAACGATTCTGGTAGAACAATGAAAATAAAACCAAACTTTTGGAGGCGACAAAGAAAGTCAACAGTCTTTAAACTGTTAAATCTAAACAAGGAACTTTAATATTGTGGCATTTTAATAAAAACTAGGATATCAACCTGTAAACAGCCGTGGGGATTTTTCCTCCCTCCCTCCTCCTCCATCTTCACAGTCAGCTGACCAAGAGAAAGGTCTGAACTTTAGGCAAAATGGGCTAGGTTCTGCCGGACCGACGGTTCTGATGGACCGACGGTTCTGTTGGACAGGCGGTTCTGTTGGACAGACGGTTCTGTTGGACAGACGGTTCTGCCGGACCCATGTTTCAGTGATGCAGCGGACAGAAACCCAGATTTTTTATGTTAGTTGATCTAAACAGCTGAACCCAGATCTGCTCTGAGCGCTGATGGAGTCTCTCCTCCACCATCAGAGAGGAGCTCAGATCAGACTTCCTGTTTTAGGTTACCATGGCAACAACAGTCAAAGATTGCATGATGATACTTGATTCAGAAATTTTGGCCAATTATATTTGTTTTCTGAATCTACAGCCTGGAGGAGCCCTTACTGTGGTGGAGAGCACCATGGGGGGAGGAGGAGGGACTGGTGATGAAGACCCGGAGGCCACAGTGGATGATGATGATGATGAAGATGATAATCTGGAGGTGCTCCAGCCTAACGAACACTGGCAAACACTCAAACCAGGTAAACAAACCAGATTCCTGCACCTGTTGGGTGAGGATGATGAAGCAGAGGGCGAAGAAGCAGAGGG